ATGATTTATGGATTTGATGATTAGAGAGGGTAGATTATGGAAAGAAGGAAACTTTGATGTAACCTTAGAGAGAAAGGGTAAAATATTAATGTATTTATAACTGCTGTTAAAAAGATTGGAAGTCACTTTTTTATTTTATTTTCTTTCTTTTCTTTCTCTCTTTTTCCTTCTTTTCTGACTCTTTTTCGTTATTTCTCTTTCATTTCTTTACTTTTCTCTATTTCTCTTATCTTTAACTTAAAATTTGTATTGTTTTTACTCTGTGGAAAAACTTATTTAATACCTTTTTAAAAATTATGTGTGCATGTGAGTGTGTGTGTGTGTGTGTGTGTGTGTGTGGTGTCTGTCTGTCTGTCTGTCTATCTATCTTAGAGACTTCTTGTTCAAGGAGATTCTGCCACTTCTGAAATTCACAGGCATCCTGAAAATATAGCATAACTCAAACTGCACTGCTGTCTCTGTGTGAGAGAGTGTATGTGCATGTTATCTCAGAGGCAACTTCCATGTGGTTTCCTCACATTAGGAGACTCATTTGCTGCTGTATTTTAGCAGCAAACAAAATATAATTCAAGTTGCAAATTTCTTACAAATTGCTCCAACTGTTAAGAATTTAGGAGGCGGCTTTGATGGTTGCTGTAAAGCCTACGGTATTGCCACAAGTAGTAACCTATTTCTGATATATGTCTTAAATGGGCAATAAATTACTTGGATTAAAAAATCTGAAGGTACATTATGCATGTAACTGTATCTGTATGTATATATTTTTAATATTTATGTACTTTTATACTGCCAGCTTCACTCCCAGTAGTTTATAATCATATAAAAGTATTGATAAAACATAAAGCACATCGCTCTACCATACAAAAAATACAAGCCCTGGCACCAGAGCAATTCCTACACTCTTCAGACATGAAACACCATGTGAAAATGCTCAGACTCAGCTGCCCTGTAGCAAACTAAAAAGGATGTTGTCTGGACCTCCGAAGGTAAGGTGCTCCATAGGAGAGGGAAGTAATTTGCAGAGCAATGTGCTGTGCCCTCTCTCCTTTGATTTCATTTGGGAAGAGGCTCTTAACGTATTCCTCTGGACTGAATGCACCGAACAGGTCAATTCTCCCTGGAGTAAAGTTGTGAGGCAGATCTATGGCACTCATAGCACCGTCTAGGGTCAAGATTGAAGTGTTACACTAGAACAAAATTTCTAGCCATTCATTTCCAAAAGGGATTATTCCTGAAAGTATTCTGCAACAGGCATATTTATGCACTTCCCCCCTGCACTTTGAACTGGACCTTGGGCAAAAGCCTTACTCCTCAGCTGAGGGCTACTCCCCCAGCAGCAGGTGACCAGGTAAATAGAAAACATGCCAAATGTCAATAGCCAAGTTTGCCCTTCCTCTTTATCCTCTTCTCATTCTTTGTCAGTGGGATTTACTTCCAGGTTTAAAAAATACCTTAAGATTCAACTATTATTACTGATCCTAATGTAAGATTCAGCTATTATTAATGATGTTAATGGAATTATTTTTCTTCGCTTTATTGCACTCATAGCAGCATCCAATTCAGAGGACCTCTGGATCAGCCTGTTCTCCAGGCAAACAAACTGGTGGCAATGGGTCATTCTAATTCTTATTCTATTAGAAACTCATCAGAAAAGTGAGGGGGGGGGGAATAAGCCCCAATTCTACCACCACTGTTGTCATTCGTGTCCTCCAGGAGATGGAGGACAAGAGTTTTAGCACAGTGCTTATCTAACTGGGTCCTTTCCTACCTCTGTATTAGAGCTATTCATCCTAACTCTCCATCATGCTGTTTTAATTGCATAGGATTGGAATGGCCAAATAAAGCTAAAGAAAGAAAATATTCCTGAAAATAATGATTTATGATGTTTGAAAAAAACAGAGTACAAATAGCCTTACTTGCTGCTCTTATTAAATAATGGATTTTGATGCAAGCAGAATCTGTAAAGAAAAGTATCAGTCAATACCCCTCCTTTCTTTGGAACAAATACATACTTAAGCTCTTGAGAATTGGCAGCCATTAAGGATTTTAACGTCTTGTCAGCCAAGGGACATCCAGAAACACTAAGAAAATCAAATGTAAAAGAGTTTCTTAAGGATGCTGTAACAAAATAATAATAAAAATGATTACATTTTTTCTTTTAAAAAAGTAAACTAAAAGCTTAACCAAAGTAAGGCTCACCAAATCTAAGGCTGCAGTATTTTTGTACCTTAAGTTTCAGTAAGTACATACAGGTGAAGGAAGTCTTGTGGATTACCCAAATCCAAACTATTTAGGGTTTTAGAGGTTAAAATATATATATTTTAAATTGGGCCCAGAAATGTATATTGGTCATGGTAAATACATAGCTAATATTATTAACTGCCATCTGCAATCCTGTATCCCTGTATTTTGTTATTAAATGCTCTCCTATTTCATTTTTTACCTGCGGTGAGATGCATAGTTTCCTGTCACATGACCACTGCCATCACATCCTGGAGTTGGACACCTAAGGAAATAAAGAGAACCAGTCAGACACAAATTAACTGGGAGGGGGGGGGGGAAGCATTTTTTTTTCCTCTCTTTGAAAGAATACCACAAGGGGGAATAACCATGTTCGACTGTTCTCCATGGTTACTGGATTGTGCAAAATATTTGATGCGTTGGGGTAGCCACATCCTCAGTAGGACTGGCATAGTTGCTTTGAGGGCTGCCTGTGTGCCTGTGCACAAGCAACACTGGAGGTGCAAACAATCTGAAGTGGCTATAGATGCATTTACACGCATGGATGATTTGGGAAAGTCCTTGAAGAAACTGCACAGAGTCTTCTAAAACAGTGTTTCTCAACCTCAGCAACTTTAAGCTTGCTGGGTGGGGGATTCTGGGGGTTGAAGTCCGCACACCTTAAAGTTGCTAAGATTGGGAAACACTGTTCTAGAGGATGTCCCTGCCTCTGTGCTTTGAGGAGAGGCACTCCACTCAAGCCACCATGTGCTCTGTGAAGTGTTCCTTCAAATGCTTTATATAGTGCTATGTGTTAGTAATGAGGAAGCTGTCTCTCTTCTCTCTGTCCTAGTGATGGACTTAGTGAAGGCTGATTTTATAGCTAAGCAAGCTCATAGAAGTGATCTTTCCAATAGTATGTTCTGAAATCACACACACACACACACACACACACACACACACACAGAGAGAGAGAGAGAGAGAGAGAGAGAGAGAGAGAGAGAGTTTCTCTATATATACATACTAGCAACCCGTCTTTTTTTCTCTCTCTCTGTATCTGATCCT